GTGCTAGCAGTTTAAAGAAAATAACTCACCTTCATATCTGTGAATGTATAAAGAGGCGAACATCTTAAAACCTTTCTTTGCCTTACTTGTTTGGGCTTCGGATCGACGTACATTATTAATTGTTACCTTGGAAAAACATTTGAGCCATAACGCGGAAGCTGAGGTGCAAAGAGCCCATTAAACTTCTCCAACTCCGGTCCAACAGAGCCTTCTTGCTCCAAAGCGTGGTTCGGATTTGCAACTCCAAAATCCAAGCAAAATGTTTGAGCGTAGTCCAGTTCTGTGGCTCCAAAAAGTAGGCAAAATGTTCAGGAAAACTTTGCAGCTCCAGCTGTCGCCGGCTGACTGTTATTACGTAGCGTCGATCTGTTTTCTCATTGATGGAGTACCACTGCCTCCTGCTGTCGCAATACTGGTATTGCACTAGCAGTACCAGTATTTCTCCACAAGGTGCCAGTGGTACTCCATCAACACTGACCCCAGTGTGTTCTTACTTCGCTGTGTCATAAGTTTTGCTGAATGACTTTGTTTCAGCAAAAATGAATGAATGTTTGTACTTTAACCCACAAAATAAACTTATATATATATAAAAAGTTATAATAATGTATATTTAAATAATTAATAACAACATAACCTATGGGCTGCTGTTTTCTAGGGGGCGCTATAGAGAAATTAGGCCACGCCCTACAAATATTGTGATGGATTCCAGTCGGGGAGTGGATAAATATTCATCCTTGTGAGTTTGCAGCAGCTGAGCCCGAAAAATGTGGTATTGAGAGCCAAACGTATGGCGATGGCGTTACAGGTAACTTCGCCACGCCGCCATGCCCACCTGCTCTACGTAGCTGGTCGGGGTTGGAATCCTCAATACACCAACATGTCTTCGGTGTCTGGGCACAGTTTCATGTTGATGAGGTCAAAAGGGTCGGATAGCGAACGTTCACAGTAAAACATTACACTTCCTGTTCTCAGGGGGCGTGGCCTAAGTGATGTCATCATTCGACCATAGGGTAATGTAGGAGACCCGATGATGATCAATCACAGAAACTTTGGTGCCTCTGTGAGTTTCTGTGTAGGAGATATAGCAGTTTATGTTTTTATGGCGAGTAGGTGAACTTTGACCCCTGCTAACCCCCCTTCAGCATACTCAAAAACTCACCGTTTAGATAACTTTAGATGAGACATGCCTTATGAACAGACTGACCGAGTTTGAAGCCGATCAATCGAAATCCCTAGGAGGAGATAGATCAAATATGAAGGCTGTAAACGGCAAAAATGGGGTCAAAAACCGAACTTGAATCCAAAATGGCTGACTTCCTGTGGGGTTTAGTCCATGGCTCCAAGAGACTTTTTTGTACGTCCTGACAAGGTACACACGTGTACAAAGTTTCGTATTTGTAGGTTAAAGCATGGCTTGGGGCTGATCATTTAAAGTTTTCTAGGGGGCGCTATAGAGAAATTAGGCTACGCCCACCAAATATTGTGATGGATTCCTGTTGGGGAGTGGATGAGGGTCCATCCTTATGAGTTTGGAGCAGCTGGGCCCGAAAATGTGGAATTGAGAGCCAAACGTATGGCGATGGCGTTACAGGTGACTTCGCCACGCCACCACGCCCACCTGCTCCATCGAAGCTGGTCGGGGTTGGAATCCTCAATACACCAACATGTTCTCTGTGTGGGCACAGTTTCATGTTGATGAGGTCAAAGGGGTCAGATAGCGACAGTTCACAGTAAAACATTACACTTCCTGTTCTCAGGGGGCGTGGCCTAAGTGAGGTCATCATTCGACCATAGGGTATTGCAGAAGACCCGATGATGATCAATCACAGAAACTTTGATGCTTCTGTGAGTTTCTGTGTAAGAGATATAGCAGTTTATTTTTTTTATGGCGAGTAGGTGAACTTTGACCCTGCTAACCCCCCTTCAGCATACTCAAAAACTCACCGTTTAGATAACTTTAGATGGGACATGCCTTATGAACAGACTGACCGAGTTTGAAGTCGATCAATCAAAATCCCTAGGAGGAGATAGATCAAATACAAAGGCTGTAAACGGCAAAAATCGGCAAAAATGGGGTCAAAATGGGAACTTCAATCAAAAATGGCTGACTTCCTGTGATACTTGCACTATGACATTAATTGTAAATTTTGAGCGTCTTGGGGAGTTCTACAAGTGTACCAAATTTCATGTGTCTATGATAAAGTAAGTGAATAGCAGAGGGTAAAAAAGGGTGTTTTTTTCCAATTTCTAGGTGGCGCCGTAGAGACATTTCTGTTGCAATTTTTGCTACGACTTTAAAATACGTAAATTTTAAACAGGCTTAAGGCCTCCGCCAAGTTTGGTGAGTTTTGAATATGATAAAGCCCCCAAAAAAGCCAATTCATTTGGGTGGAAGAATAATAATAATAATAATAATAATAAACAATAGGAAAACATAGGCCTTCGCAGCGCTTAGCTGCTCGGGCCTAATAATAATAATAATAAACAATAGGAAAACAATAGGCCTTCGCAGCGCTTAGCTGCTCGGGCCTAATAATAATAATAATAAGAACAGTACAGAAACAATAGGCCTTCGCAGCGCTTAGCTGCTCGGGCCTAATTACATTCCTAAATGAGCTGACTAATTTTGGGGGGTTTATTGGCTATAAGTCAGTCAAAATATTATAAATAAATCCTTGACACTTATCATATCTGTAAGGAATATATCCTTTTCTGACATGCACTAACATTGCGGCCATCCCAACAACAACGAAGCCCGCAGAGAGATCTCTTCCTCGTGAGCTTTTCTACCTTTTGTCAGTTCAGTCAAACTTCATAATGCATCAGGTTAGACGGCAGTCTGGCGTAAAACGACAGAAAGAGAAGTCTACTACACCTCCAGCTCCTCTGGGGGCCATGCTGGGTCAGCTACAAGCTGGCCAGGTTGTTAAAACCTATTAATGGGATGGCGCAGTGTGTTCCAACGAACCACTGCAGTGCTGCATTATTCATCACCTCCAGAGCCGATTCAGTGAATAGCTTTCCCTCCTGCCTTGAACGGTTGCAAGCAAAAGGTTCAGGGAGTGGTGGATGAGTTCTATTTTCTTGTGATTTCGATGTCCTTTGTTGATGTTTACTCCACTCAACTCAACCGGGAGATAATCAAACAGACACATCAAACATGCTGCTTGTTACAATGCCAAAGTTCTGGAAACAGACTCTCATTAAACTTGTTGGTTCACAAACAAGGTGAAGAGAGACAACTCAGACATGCAAGTGTTTTAACGACTGACAGGAATTCTGTCGAGGAGATAGATGAAAGGTTGGGGTTATCTCAAACGACATTCATATTCAGCAAAGATAAAAAAACCAAAAAAAACACCAGTGATCCCACAGAGGCTTTGATGGACAAACTGAATGCGTGTCCTCACGCTGATCTGAAGGTTCTGCGCTCTGATGGGTAATAACTTCTCTAAAGCAGCGTGTCAAACGTGGAGTGGGTTCCAAAACACACCCTGAAGCAGAAATATGTCTGTCTATGAGAAAGAGCCTGATGTTCAGTGCTTTTTGTTGCACCTTCAAAATCATCTGGATGATTATTACAGGCCCACAACAAACAGCAATAAATCCCTGTAATTTTGCATGCGTGCATTTTCCTCAGGTTAAGGGTCAAGATGAAGTTGAATAAAAGTTTTAGTTATCCTTGGTCTTCTGCTCATCTGAAATCAAATCACTCCTAGACATCCCTCCCTCTAGCAACATTTATAAGCTCATTCTGGTGGATCCCTAAGGCTATGTTCACATAGCAGGCAAATAAGACCCAAATCTGATTTCTTTTGCCATATCCAACTATTTCACAGCTGTCCAAATGGCTCAACTCCAAACCTTTCACCCCCAGAAAACATTTATATTTTACCACTGTCAGATGTGGTACTAAATTGGATACATAGCCAAAAATGTTTAAAAAATCTGCAGTCAAAATGGCCATGTCACTGTTTTATAATTCTGCCCCAGAAGAAGCCTAAACAATGGCTGAAAAAAAAAATAAATAAATAAAAATTATTGGTCAAAAACATATGAGAAGTATTTTTGGCTGCATTCAGTTTGAAATATTTAGATTTAATATTGAACGCTCAAAACTTCACAAAAAAACAAACAAAATCGGGATTGGTACATCTCAGATGTTTGGCAGAGTTGTTAAAATTGATTCTTTCAAAGTAAAGTTTGACTTTCCAGCTTTTTCCTTTTGCATCACATTCTGACGTGGGAGCAGGCAGGTAGATTCTGAAAAAGGTTAAGTTGAGAAAGAAGACTGATTGCATGACTGGTCAAGAGACCAGCAAAAATGCTGAACAGTGAAGAGTGAGGATGAGTGTTTTAGAAGCTGCTTCAAGCAGAAACTAAGGCTCACTTGTTCAATCGTTACCAGAAACAAAAATGAATATTTGAGATAAGAAGCAATCTAAGAAACAAATGAAGCAATACCATCCCTCCATGCTGGTTGAGATTAAATTCTCAAAGAAGAGAGGCAAACTGCCCTTTTATCCCCAGGCAGTCCTAAAAAGGGTTTCAAATTGGGTTAAGGGGGAAATAGCAGTCATTTTCTGTACTCAGAATGGGGGGTTTTGCCTAGGAAGAAACGACGTGGAAGCCTGGAAAAGAAACGGAATCCATCTCTGCGATGATAGAATTTCATAGGAAAAGCTTCAATAGAGCAATTCTCACTTACAAAGAGCTACAACTTAGGAAGAAGATTGACCCTTTATTAAATCAAGCCGTCTTGCATGGATGATAATTCCCACTTACAGCACCTTCACATCTTTAAGTGGGGTGAAAAGGTATCCTTCTGACCCAATCAAAGTGTTTCTCAAGGTCCTATTACTCCTTGATGCTATGATTTTTCAGACATATTTTCATTTGTGTGAATGTTTGAAAAGTATTTAATATCTTTCATCTCAACTTGATCAAAATAACTTTTCGGGGTGCCGTTTTTGGTTGTTTTCTAGAGTAGTAAGATTTACCTGGGTCTCGAGAGTTTGGATTTTTGACTCCAGCTCCTTGATCTTTTCCTCCTTTTTTTGGGACTCAGCCTGGGCCTCCTGCCGCGCACTGAACTCCTCGTCAAACTGCAAGAGAAGAGAAACAAGAATGTCTGCGTGTAGATAAACACATGTAGAGGGAGGTGAAGGTAAGCGTAGGGTTGCCCCAGAGAGCGACCACAGGGCGCTTCAAGAGGAACAGAAAGCATGCCACTACACACTCTGAGGCCCATTTCTATCCATAACCCTTACAGCCCCAGAGTCCTGTCACCCTTTGTCTCTTGTTTGGATCTTGGTCTTCATGTATGTTGATGGCTCTAACCTTTGCAGAAACCAAGGCATGTCGCAACAATGATTTCACCAGCCCAGCAGGGAGCAGAGTGAATCGCCACGACACGAGTCTTAAGAAAAAAACATTCAGGACCCCTGCTGTTGTCAGATTGAAGTTAAGACTGTGCTTCTTGCCTTAATACAGTGCAGTGAAAAAGTATTTGTTCGATTACAGACTTCTTTTTCGGTTTTTACCTTTAAGATCATCAAACAAAAATAATCTGAGTATATATACAAAAATAAAATAAAAAAACATTTCCCAGTGATTTTTTATTTTGTGAAGGGAAACCGTGTTCGAGTAACAAGTTGATTAGCAAGCTCAATGGATTACGAGATAACTGATTAACCAAAAATATTTGAAAAATTTAGTTCAATTTCATTGACATCTATCAGTCAAAATTAGGTTACAAAATCCTTTCTTACGCTTTGGGACTCCAGGGAGCCACAGTGACTAACTATTCAAAATCAGTAAACCAGCTTTGTAGTGATCAGCCTACCAAACTGACTCCAAGATCGAAAAGAAAGCTTGTCCAGGAGGGCACAGAAAAACCCAGAGCAGCATTTCAAGCATCATTTAACTAACAGAAATGATGTTCATATCGCAATAATTGGAAAGAAACTGGGCAAACAATGCATCAATTGAAGGTTTCACAGCAAATAAAAGAAGAAAAAAAACACCTCTGATCTAAAATAATGATTTACCAAAATACATTTTTATTATCCCCATAATGGACAGCTAAATATTTTGTGAACCGAGGAGAAAAGAGTTGAACCTTTTGACCTTTGCATGCAATGTAAGACTAACAACATTTAAACATGAGATCCCCAAGCAGGGAAGGGAGTGCTTTTGGACCGGCCTTAATAGATGGAAACATTCATTCTGATCAGGGAGAATGTTAGCCATTAGTTTGTGCCCTTAAGCGAAAGTCCACTTAGGAGATGCAGCAAAAAAAATGATAATTACACAAGCAACAGGAAATGACCGTTTCAGAATGGCCTAGTCAAAGGACAACTAAAATTCAATGTCATTTGTGTTCAGCTGACATGCAGACATCTTTAGGGGCTAATTATGTTGCCTGATATTTCAGTTTGCAGTGTGACAAAAGAAAAAACAAGAAATCTGAGGTTTTAAAACACTATTTCACAGAACTTCCAGTAACTGAATCTGTTTAAACCTTTAAGTGAAGTCCAGCCTTAAATACGTAATTACATCAAGGCTTTTCCACATAACTTAACTCTCCCCAACCTTGTGCACAAATAAGTATACATCAGAACATCACCATCGATTCTTGTAATGCTGATACGGATCATGTAGCGTCACAGCCAGGTATTGATTGGGGCATGCTAAATCAATAGCTTGTCTGGGAGCTCTGGGGAAGAAAAAACTTTGCTGATGGGAGCTGGCCAAGCAAAAGGAAGAGGGGGTGGGGGTTATTTGAGTGATTAATGTCTCACCTTTTTGGAGTACTCTACAGCCTTCTGTTCACTCTCTTCAACTTTGGCTTTATCCACACACTGATCTGCAAGACAAGAAGGGCGTGAGATACTTCAAAGGCATCTTAGGGTGCAGCATGCATCTTTAACTCATTGTAAGGCTTCGAAGTTATCTGGTGTCTTCTTTTAAAAGTTTATCCAATTCCAATTTAGGTCATTCATCTGGGATGTGAGAGTTTCTTTTTTCATTTAGGGAGCCAAAATGTATTCCAGGAAAGCGAGCACTTCATTATTTCCAACAGGAATAATTTCAAACAGCAATTGAAGGTTCCCAAGAATACACGGAATGTAGCAACTTGCTTATCAGATTTCTATGAAAGAAAATTAAGAGTTAGCATTATCTGTATGCTGCAACCTTATGTGGAATAGAAACACGATCAAGTTGTTGGACAGTTTAAAGTAGCAAATCAAAAATTAATGAGAACTGTAAGTGTACAATAGAGTTGTAAACCACTTATCTGTTAATGTAGATTATATGCTTCACTCTACAAGACTCCAAAAAATATCTGAAACTGCAGAGGTAAACTGTGACTTTTTTATCTTTTATAGATTTTCTTTAATAAGATTTATTGTTTATTGTTATGTACAAAATGCTTGGAAATCTACATGTATGGATTCTCATATATAAATCTCAAACAAAGCTTATTTGTTTGAAAACTTTTTTTAAACAAAAAAGAAGTCTGCAAAATATGGCGTGTGTTTTTATTCAACCACTTGTACTCTGACACCCATAAATAAAATCCAGGGCAACCTATTACTTCGAAAAACCAACAAAGCAGTAAATGGAGCCTTCCAGAGTGATTTAATGCAAGTCTAAGTTCAGTTCTTCTTTGAAGGTTTTAAAGGTTTGTCAGATAACATTGGTGAGCAAACTGACAGAAAGAAGAGCAGGGAACACACCAGACAGCGAAAGTGGGCAAACATGCTCACACCATAACCAACAGGGTTGGCATGAACATAGATGAAGCTAAATATAAGGTAGAAAAAAAACTATATTTAGTCTGGATAAGACCTTTCACCTTGCAGCAGCCAGAATCACAATGGAGTAGCTTAGATCAAAGTCTATGAGTGTAAGAATGGCTCAGTGAAGCTCCGGGCCTAAATCTAAAGTAAGAGATGAAACCTGATGTTCAAAGATGCTATCCATACAATCACCTTGAACTGTAAGAATTTTGTAAAGAACAAACAGACCTGTCTATCTCTACATGTGCAAAAGCTGATAGACACCCCAACAGACCTGCAGCTGTAATTGCAGAAAAACGGGTTTCAATTTGACTCAATCTGAATGCTGAAGTTGGACTTAAAAAACGGAGAAAAATGCATTTCAATTCCCACATGTGTGTTTCAGTGCGCTTCAGCAAAGTGGGACAGAAAGCTTCAACCAGCAGACGGCTGAATACAAATGAATGTCACAATTTTCAGATTTCTATTTAAATAAATAAAAATCCACACTTCCTTCTCATTTCAATTCACTGTTATATATGACTTTGTATTGGTGCATTATGTAAAATACCAATGACATACAAAGATCTTTAGTATTATGATGCAGCAAATTGAGAAAATATTCAAGGGGTTTGAATACTTTTTGTGATGAAGCAATAGATGAAGCTTGTTTGGTGGAGAAATGAGAGGAAGTGTACATGAGTCATGACCTACAAAAACGGTTTGGCTCTGGAAAAATGCATTTCAAAGAAAATGCCTCAAGTTTTAATGTGAGTGGATCAAGGCATTTTGTCCGTAGCCTGCCATCATTACACAGCTACAGCTTAAGATGACAACGAGCTTTAAAAGAGGAAACTAAAATGCTAAAAATAAGTCTAAAAAGGGCAGAAAAGACATTTCATTCCTCCATGGGCTTTTTATTAAACTTCAGCAAAGTGTGAGAGAAAGCTTCATGCAGCATCTGTTCTCAGGGGATAAGTTTAGAAACTTTTAATGACCCTTTGTTGGCAAGTCACAGGCTAGCGACACGACTGTGAGAGACAAAGTCAATTTATTTTTATTTTTCAGCAGGAAAAAAAATTCTCCTTTGGCAATGCAGCTCAAATTAATGTTGTCTGCTTGACTCCACCAACACAAATAACTGAATTAAAGCAAATGCTTCTCTATTATATGATTCATTTGGCCAAATCAAGCACACTTTTCTGTAAAATTTGTTTTCGTTTTATACATGCTAGATAGACTGCAAATTGTGGACGTTTTCCACCAGCCTATGAGTTTAGCTAGTAAACCTATTGATTTTTGAAAAGAATATACAGTTATGATAAACACAATAACTAGTCCAACAACACCAACCAGAAACATTGCAGTTTGTGGTTGAATTATGTTTTCATGTGCAGTTACATGTAGCATAGTAATACAAATCAACAGCAGTAATTTGGGCATGCCCAGCATAATTTTTGGACCTTGGCCCAATAAAAACATGAATCTCTGCAGTGCTGCTTCTGAGGCCAAATCAAGGAATACAGAGAGATTTGTGGAATGTATTTTGATCATCCTGGGATGAGATGCCCATTTGTAGGAGCCAGAGGTCAGTTGACTCTATGCAACACAGATATGAAGCAGCTCTCAGATTATACAGGTAATTATCAGTTCAGTGAGTCACATGAAAGCTGGATCTTCAAACAATTGTCAGTTTAAACTGTAAATGTTTGAGTTTATGAAGAAAAACAAATGAAGTGCTACTAGTTGTAGGGGCTAGTTTTCCTTTTTTTCCTCTTTTCTGTAGGTTGATTTTAAATTGGTTACACTTTTCTAAACGTTTTAATTGAACATACAAAATGAATACTTTTGTATTTGCATGTGTAAAAATAACTATTTTAAGGAATACTATAGTTAAACCCTACTTTAATAATAGTATCTTGTCAAAAATTAAGAATACAACACAAGTATCAAAAAATATTAGCATTAGCAGAAATATTAGCATTTTCCAACAAACAGACAACACAGACATTTGAAGTATGAAGTAGTTGAAAAAGTTACCAATAAGCTGAGTGAAGTCCACATCCAATCGTTTACTGTAACCAAAGTCAGGGTCCGTCCCACTGCGATGCAGAACCACCTGAGACACACATTCCTCGATCACCTTGTAGTACTGAGGTCTGAGAGAGGTCACGAGACAAAGCAGAACAATTAGACATGAAAGATATGAGTGACACAAAGCCCATGAGGCTAATTAACCACAAATGATTCCCTTATCCAAGTAGAGGTCACAAAATGCCATGTCGAAAAGGCTGCTGCTGGAGAAAATAGGTACACCATTAAATTTGATCACTTGCTTCACCCTTATCGTAAATTTAGCAGATTAATGGCTACACAGAAACCAACCACACGATCATCTGTCCATTTCAAGGTGACTGACGGCCGCCAATGCTACGCCTGCCCCCTTGCATAATTTGCAATCTTCTTTGCCAATTAGGGTGACCGTAAAAACTGAAATGTAAATCTAATCAGTGTAATGTGTGTAATTAAAGGCACAATGGGCAGGAAAACATGCCAGGCAGTTGGGAGTGTGACTGGGAGCGTGGCGTCTTCAAACACGGACTGTGAATCAGCCTGAAAGTCCGTCGCCACCACGCAGGTTGCTGTGTGACCTTTTCTGTGTAACATTATCAACTTTAATTGCAAGTGACATTTAGCAAATACAATGCCATCTTAAGCCGAGCTTCAAACTGAGAAGTAATTATTTTTTAACCCCAACACAGGCCAGCATTTGATGTTTAAATTTGTTTAGTTTTTTTTTGTTTTCTTTTTTATTCTTCCACTAGCTTAACAGCGTCTACTTTGCAAGTTAAATTTTCATCTTGGGTTGCAGATGTTTGACAAACTGTCAGCCAAGGCAACCAGACAACAACCTAATATGCTAAAACTAAACTTCACTTTTCAAGCGCATGGAAGGGTTCTGAGACATCAAACTGATGTCTCCTGCTGGGCCTCCTCAAAACATCAAAACACAAAAAAAACACACACTTGAACACATAAAAGTAAAAGCTTTCAACAGCAAATTTATAGAATCACCACATACAAACAAACCAAAACAAAAATGGTATTTAGTCAACTTTTTAGAGTCAAAATTGGTTACAAAACAAAGTTTGTTTATTGTTTTAATGTGTTTCAATATATGAAACCTTTAAAATAAATACATATTTTGTTGTAGTGGTGTGACCGCACACTTGGAGAAAAAATGTTGAAAACTTTGAAAAATTGACTAAATCATCACTGTAATATCTACAGACACATATGAATATGCAATTATATAATGTAATATATAAGTATAATGTGAAGCTGGCCAACATGGATAACAAAAATGCAGGACAAGTCTGACACATGACTGCTTGTTTCCCAGTGGTGTAAGAATGAACTGACAAGGAGGCATTATCCTCTCAATCACTTCACAAAAATGGTAAGACAAGAAAACATGCTGATTAAGTCATGCAGATAAATGCAAACTTTACGTACCGAATGAAAGTAGAGAAATGCAATATGATAACATTCATGTATATAAATGAAGTAGAAAAGGGAAAAAAAGCTCCCTTAAGGGAGAAAAAGAAATATAAAGGGACAAGATAGTAAAAAATGTGAGTGAAAATTAGTGAAAGAGTGAATTGGGCCTTTCTGTACACAATTAAATATCAATTTTAACGTCAACGGTAAAACAAAATTGTCCTTACATTCAACAACCAGAGTGAGCATCAACTTCTGACAGAATCTACATATAAAACATCCTCACCATGCTTCATATCTTTTCAGAGGCTAACAGATGATTTGGTGAGTGATATTAAGCTACTTAAGTAATTTGTGAATGTTTGGGCGGACAGATCTGAAGTGAATCATTGACGCATAATTACTAAAAGAGAAATCCATTAGCATCTGGGAAACAGTGATCTGATTAAATAATCAAAGGAAATTATTCAGTTTGTTTTTGGTAACAGCACAGAAATAAATTCAAAGTACAGTCGTCGATTAAGTCCCTCTGATCACCATTAAATTCCTAATGAAAAAAACAACTACACTTTAATGTGTTTTGTTATTTTACACCAGTGGATGACGGTAAAAGATCCACCGTGGTACATAACTATGCTGGAGTTTAATATTTTTAGCTTCCTCTAGATTGTCCAATTGATTTATAACCGCAGACGTCTAAAAGCCTGAGGTTTTAAGACGACTTAGATTAGATAAGGACTTCAGTCTGATCAAAGGTTTGGCTGTCTGTTGGTTCTGCGTGAAAAACATTGAGCGAGAAGGAGGGGAAGCATTACTGCTGCTAAAATGTGATAATTGATTACAGCAGGCAGAACTGTGAACAAAGTGTCTGCTGCCAGGTGAGTTAATTTTGTCCAAAAAGACTAAAAACTGAACATAAACAAAGTATGTCAGTGAGAAAATAAAAAGGAACATGAGAGCACTTTGTTGCCATCAAACATTAAATGAAACAGAGTTAATATCTGCCCTTTTAAGTTTAACAGCTAATTTCAAAGTCTATTTTTCCACTGCGATAACTTGTGGGCAGGGCACACAAATGTTGTTTTATAAAAAAAAATAAAATAAATATTCAGCCAAAGCAAATAAGAATAAACCAGCATTTAGGTGTGTTGTTTTGAAAGCATGAAATGCCACACATTAATCTTGAGCTGGTGGATTCACCCACTCATGACTGGCACAAGCTGGTGAAAGCTCGCACGTCGCCCCGCATGGCTTAAGCACCGTGGGGACTCGGCTTACAACTGTCATGAATGCACACCACATTATTATCTCAATAAGCCACACTATTTTCCCCTTCGTCCTCCATCCTCCACCGCCGCCACCGAGCAGATAGAGACCGGGTGGAGATAACTAGAGATGGAGAGAGTGACCCAGAACTGTCAGGGCCCTTCCACAGTGGGCAGGCCTGGGCTCCCGAAGCGAGCACATGTCCCCAGTATCATCCTCAACTTCTTCTTTTTCTTTGGCACCTTCATTTCTTTTAGTGATAACTTGTGGTTCAGCCACTTGATCCAGCCCTGCTCCACATAACCAGTGTAATCCCCCTCTCACCAGGCTCCAAAAGAGCAGTTCTGCTCTGTTATTGCTGGGTGGGTTTGATCTGTTCCAATTCATTACACTTGCAAGGAAAGATTAATTATCAAAAATAAACCCAGCCCTGGAGGGGGAAAAAGAAAACATACAACTTTTGTTTTGTTTGGAGACTTTGTAGTAGACAGAGCGGGTTCACTCATAATTAGAAGACTGCAATGTTTAAAAAACAAATGCTTAATTATATAATATTTTAAAATAATAAGTGGTAGCAAATGGAAAATTGAGTGAGATAAAGAAAAAGAAAAGGGGAAATACACTTCCTTGTAAATGTTCTGGACTTTGCCACGTCAAATCCACAAACATCTGTTCATTTCATTTGGATTTTATGCAACAGATCAACACAAATATGTAAATAATGGGGGAAGGGAAGATATACAAAAAGATATAAAGTTTTCAAAACATGTTAAAAATAAAAATCTGAGACGCGTGCTGAGAAATGTAAGGGTATAATACTAAATAAAATAATATAAAGCAACAAACTGCCTTCAGAAGACACAGCCAACACCTGCTGTGTTTAATTTAATCCCAGTATAAATGCAGCTGTTCTGCAAACGCCTAAGAGGTTTGTTAGAGAAAATTACAAAACAAAACTCATCAGGAAAATTAAATCGAAAATCATATTTGTGGAAATGACAAAACCTACCATTATAACTACAAAAGGCTGCAAAGTGATAGTTTAGATCGAAGGATGTTTATGTGAAAAATTGCTCAGTCAAAATCCAACTGGGCTGAAAATTTCCATCTCCAGAAATGCAGAGCTAGTAGATGCACTCAAAAAGCTGTAATTGTATAGGTTGTTAGTTGAGAATTAAGTCACTAACATATATTATGTATATTCACAATTATCTAAAGTTTTAGGATATAACATCTCAAGAATCCATTGAGTTTTGTAGCTGCAACATGACTACACATAAATAATTTTGATGGGTGGGACTACTTTGAAAAAGCCCAACACAGTGGACAAAAATAATATACACAAGCTCATGTTTTTTGTAAATTGGTCTGGATTCAGAGTTCTTCCTCATATTCACCTCATCCAACCTTAAATCAAAATACAACATTTATTTAAAAAGCTGTTTAGACTGCATTAGTTCTCCATCTTCCATAATCTGCAGCTGTGATGTATAGGGAATTAAATGTCTCACTCGATGCATTTCTACTTGTAATGTAGTTCATTCTTGCATTAGTTTGGATGGTTGAAGGGAAAAGAAACTCATAACATATCTTTTGAAAGAACTTTACGGGATTTTTCATGAGCGGTTCAACTGATCCCTTCATGCTTCTGCCTCAAGGAGCTGAACATGGACAACGAAGCAGAGGTAGACATGGATGGTTAATGTGAATTCTATTTCTCACTTCCTCCGAATAGATGAGGAATGCATTATTCATGACTCCAAGGGGACAGCAACTTGTCTTTAGTAAATTCATCCACCTCCTCTCATCCTCAAGTTATCTTCCAACTTTCTTTTTTTTAAGTTGCAGTTCTGCAAAAAGTTCTGACGCAGCAAGAAATTAATCAGAGCCTCTCTATTAAAATAAGTCACACTCTCATTTTACAGTCACTGACTAATCTGCTTTTTCAAACATCAGGCAGCTTACATTTTAGAGTGGCTTAATTCTCAACAAAACAAAACGATGTCCTGACTGAAACGGCTCCCCTGATGACGATCATTCAGACAGTGCAAAGAAATAAGAACTACCAACTATTAAACGACTGCTTTCTCCTGTGCAACACAGCCAACACTCATCCAATTAAGGTTGTTGGTTGGAGTTCTTCAAACTTGCAGAATTTAACATACGGATATCAGTGATGTAGCACTTCTATCCCAGATAATGAGTCAAGCTACAGTAGGCAGAAGTCTGGAGGACGTGATCCAAAAAAAAAAATACAAAATCTAAACAATATTTTGGTTTGTAACTTTCAGGCCATCATTTGGTAAAGTTATTGAAAAATTGTACAGGAGAAGAGAAATCATCTGAGGGTTTTTTCAGAGGCCAACACAGACTCTTTGTCAGGCCGACTGCTACTGGAGACCTTTCTGATCACAGCATCACTTTTCACACTGACTGAAAAAACTTGGATGGTATGAACATTTAATTTATTTTGGGAGAAATAAAGCAATTTGAATTTGAAAAAAACAAAAAAGCTATTGAAAAGTGAATGAATAATTTGGTTGAAATAATGCTGCATTCTGTAAACAAGCAATTAACTTTATAGTTCAGAATAAGATTTACTAAAGACGTTCTGTTTCTTCTATAAGATATAGAATTACCAGATAAACATTTTCTCACAGAGATTATCTTGATTGTTGAGTTGTGTATGTACAACAAATAAGGTGTTCCTTTTTAAAGTTTTCAGATTTCAACTAGAGGTTTCTCACCCACATTGGTCTCATATTCTAATGTCAATTTAAAAAAATAATAAAAAAAATATGTTTATTTGATCTTTTATAGATCTTTATTTGATCTTATGTGACGTGCAGCCTGTTTTAGTGAACATTTTGCTGCAGCGTCTGAAACGTAAAATACAGAGAACAGCAGTGATATCAGACTGCACGCTAATATTAGTAAGCAGTGCCACTGTCCTGCAACCTTGAGACACATCTCTGCCCCACCACACCTGAATCTAATCAATGGGTAATGACAAGGCATTTACAAATATTGCTGACATGCCAAAGAGGTAATTCAGCCATTTGATTCAGGTGTATAGGAGCAGAAAGACATCAAAAAGTTGCTACTGATTACCCTGATCACTGAGCCTGTTGTGATTAACAATGCAGCTAATAGCTCAAATTTTCCTTTACAATTTTAAATGTCTCTTTTTTAAAAGGCAGATGCAAGTCCGGAGAGGAGATTTTTATGGCTGTCCAGGCATCCGTTAAAGAAAAGTGCCTGGGTGAACGTAAAATGAGAATGATGGGTTTGTGGGTATTGTATCTGCAGTTATAGAGGCAGAGTGAGAGCTAGCCTCACCAGGTCATCAGTCAATACAAGGCCAGCAGTATGTAAAAGCCAAACAGAACTTACCTGATGTAATAGTCATTCCTGATAAGCAATAGGTGCTGAAGGATTGACAGAAAGTAGGTCTCCGAGGCGGTGTCTTTCACCATATTTGACAGGAGATGGTACACTTCATTCATATCAGTGAGGGAGCAAGGTTAAGGGAAAAACAACTTTTTTCTTAAATCAGATAGCTATAAAAGCATCCATTCTGACAAACTTATTCAGCTCCTGTGAACATTTAAAGGTTATTACAGTTTGTTTTCATTAGAAGCGTTTATTTTATTTTCTTTTATGGATTGCAGCTCAGCTTCTCTGACAGGCATCATCGCACAAAAGTCAACAGAGATATAATTTCTCTTTTCCGCTGTCTCTCAGGGGAGCTGTGACAGAGTAAACTGCTAAGTTGAGAAGGGGGGACTGGCATTGAAGAAAGCTCCCACAGGTTCACCTGTCACTCCAGACCTTTCAAGACATACAAAACTAATTACATGAAAAAGTCACACAATGCTTTACTTTTCTACACCAACTAAATCTTGAGGATCTGATCTTTTGCAGGGCAGAAGCATATGTGAGGCTAAACCTTTATATCGAAACTGCCATGCACCATGAAGAAAAATGCTGGGAGATAAAATTTGCAAAAGGTATTGATTGTGCGTCTTAGCTTTGCTTTTAAAGGAGAATCCACTGATGGCTCGACATCTGAAGCAGCCTGTAAATCTAAGGGGCCTTTTAATGCTTTAAGTCTAATGAGCAATACATCCCGAATAAAAGCATTTGTTTTGATCTTTCAACTGTTCAAAGAGGACAAGATGATAAAAACGGAAATTAGATGCTCAAACAAAGCAAGTTAAAGGAAAGTATGAACACATTTTAGATAATTGCACAGGATGCGATTCACCGCTACTCATACAGCTGTATTGTATAAAGTGGAGAGAAAAATTAGCAGAAAGGCTAACTTCAAATGTTTATATTTCCCCTGATATCAACAGAAAGTTGGATCCAAGTCAGCAAGCAGATCAATTTTAATTTACAATTATTTTATAAGAGAGGTCAATTATTCAACCAGAATTATGCCAGGTCCTTGTCGATGTCAACCAATCATCTTGCTAAGTGACATTTTCTATTACTAGGGTTGGGTAGGTTTTATTATCAATGATCTTGCTTCGTTCGTCTAAATGAATCAAAGCCTCAAATTAAGACAACATTCATGCTCATGAGTGAATGTATACTTTTGAGTGACGACGATTCAAATATAAACACAAATTGTAGTTCTTCACAATCTGCATTAAAGTATTTAAACCCACAGTGTCATCAACAGCCACAGCCAACACAGACGCCGGAGAAATGTGTTCATGATCTATGGGTTGCTCCGCTTGCCAGATCCCTCACTGCGTTTGGAAAAGATCAATGCTTTTAAATGCTGTTTCACCGCTCTCCAAATCAATGTTAACAGTGTCTGTAATTAAAATGCTTTAAATATTTTTTTTTTCTTCTCTTAGAAACAGAGGGGGGAATTAAAGCTCTTCTAAAGTATCGTTTCTCTCCTCTGCAGTACCTGGGAGAATTACCAGCCCTGGGAGATTCAATTATAACCTCACCACAGCTGCATTTCAGAAGGCAGGGGGGGGAGAAGGAGCTCACCCTGGGAGAGAGCCGAGCTTCGTTCATCTATCACTAACCTTCGGACGCAACCCCGCTGTAAAACGTTGAGCTCCTCCATGCCCCCCTCATTCACGCAACTGAAGCTCTTTCTTCTCACTCTCAGTTTCTCTCGCCGTCACTTTATGCTCTCTCTCCAAATAATGAATAAACATGAGTGGCAGTCAAGTGTGATGTAGGCCAGTCAGTGGTGGGGTCAATCAATCACCATTCCACAGTTCATTAATATTTATTAGAGCCTGGAGTCATCTCCTCAGCACCTGGACCAAGAGCTGGACAGAGGAGTCTCTTCAGGTTAATATTTATGAAACCGCTGGGAGAAACAAGACACATGTGCAGAGCTCAGGTGGTAGAGGTTCTGCTGCTGCGAGTGTGTGTGTGTGTGTGCGCTCCATGCAGACAAAAGAACAAAGGGTAACCTGGGTTTTCCAATCAGGACCATACCTCACAGATCAATATCACATTGTCCTTGGAAACAAACATTAGGCCTTCTCATTTGTGAACCTGCTCAAGCACATCATTAATCTAGCTACACCTCTCTACCTCCACCCGCCCATCTCTATGCACACATTCACAACTCCTCCTCCCCTCGCAAGTGTCACACCAAACTGTCACTCACCGTGGCACTTTTATGCCCTTACAAGAGCTGTGGAAGAAAATGGAAGCAGGAACGAACATCTACATAATGTCAGAGTCTGGTTCGTCTGCTCACAATGTCAGCTATTCATACATGGCCTGGGAGAAGATTTCTGAATTATTAAAGAGCTCTTCTTGGATGCCAGGAGAAGTTTGCCACTCAGGACTAAATTTGTGCTCCTCTTATTACTTACACGCCAAAATTTCAGAGCTAAAAGGTGGAGAAACGAGTGGTGCAGCTACAGGTGCATCTCAGGGAATTAAAATATTATTGGCAGGGTCTTTACCTTTTATTTCAGGATTTTATTTCAAAAGTGAAATGTGAGGCATATATTTTTATGGTTTCACATAATGAAAAATCCCAAATGTAGCTCATCAGAAATGAGAAAAAACCAAGAAAAACATTGTGTTTTCGTTTATTTACCCAGAGTCCATTTTCAAAACAAACTAATGGAAAGTTTAGTGGAAGGAAAAATATGGTAGAAGCAGCAATAAAAATGTCAGGTTCTTGAAAAATAAAGAAAATGCTTGGTTAAGGGTTCGTTTGCATGAATTACTGAAGCTGTGAGCCTGAGGGACTGTTGAGATGATAATGGAGCCCAGGTTACTTTAATATTGACATTCAGCTTGTCGGATTTAAGTGTCTTATTTTTCACTTGTCTAATATTGAAAATGCCATGATATCACAGTCATAGCATGGTCGTTAAACTGGATATTGGTACTTTTGGCATTGTGAGCAAGTCTTTCTAGTATGCATTTTGACATACTTTTTTCCTTCCACTAAACTTTCTGTCAATATGCTTTAATACAGCATTTCTATTTTTGATCTGAGTCACAGCAATAACATAAGAGTGGTGCATTAAAAGACCCTTTAATTAATACTAATTTATTTCAATTGCTCTCAGAACCAAATTCTTACTAAATGTAAGCTAGTAATCTAGAATAAAGGCTAAAATAAAGGTTTGAAATATATCACTGTGTCTAAGGAATCCATCGTACAGTATAATTTATTACTGAAATAAATTACTTTATTAAGATGGTAGAAATATTAATGTCATACTTTTTTTATGTTTCATTAATGTCTTTCACAATTCAAAGCTCACAAAAAGACAAAGTCAAACTAAAGAGCAGAGGGAAAGGATTGAAGGAGAAGAGCAAATAAAGGAGTAAAGAGGTCATGGGTTAAGATGACTGGGTTATTTACTAAGGGTACCTGTCTGGGGATAGAGCCGGATATTGTGCTTTGACTCATCTAATCCTCCACTAATGAACAAAGCCATGAAGCGGATTTAGTCTGCAAAGCTGGACCAAAACCGACGATACGCACAGGCACATCACTAGTTCTGCAGGAATATACATCACTCCTCTGGGTGGTAACACAAAAGACCAAAGGATATTCCATCTCAGCACGGATGTCGTCCAGGCGATGGGAGAGTTCGATGGCGTCTTCATCTTTGTTCTCATTGAACACCTTCAGCTGAATGTCCAGCTCCTCTGTTTTTTTTAACTCCTGGAAATTAATGAAAGTACCAGGAGTTAAAAGTGTTTTTTATAAATAAAATACACAGTTAATGTAGCTTTTACATTACCTTCCAACTACAAATCACTTACTACAATTACTGCAATCCTCCTGTATTGTAGTGTTTTATCACAAAACTTCCAGTTAAATATACTGAAGTTTGTGGGTATAGCATGACAAAATGTGAAAAACTTTTTCAAAAGCAGTCTTGGTATAAAAAGAAAACTAAGATAGCATCAACCCTCTCACCAACAGCTCCAGACAGAACCAATTCCTGCACACCTGTACCAGCCACAAGGGGACACAGAGTTGCTCTTTACCACTTCGCTATGAATCATCAGCAATAGAGTTTATGTGGTGAGACACAGCCAAATGTAACCCAATTTCTGTAGGTATCAATCACCTTGCACCGTTGTGGGGGTGCACCATCTGTCTCCAGCAACCAGCACTAGTTTGCAGGGAGATGCACAATGGCACACAAAAGTAAAGGAGGGACAAGAAGAAGGGAGGCAAACACAGTCAGCCAAGGACTATCAGAACAAAACAAATTGCTTTCTTTTTCGGCGGACTTCACTGTTTCTTGGCCAACAGATACACACCTTCCTGAGCATAACTCATAATTAGATGAAGGAGTGTCACGCTGAATGCGGGCAATAAAAGTGGTGAATGTGGGATTCATAAACGACTGTACACAGAGGCTCTTTCATATCAGAGGGCAGAAATGGAGATAATTAAAGTAATGACCGTAAAAATCAACAGGAGCAGCTGGGATGACTTATTAACAACTGGCTCTGTGACACATTCACCCCACTTGCAACAAATGAGAGTTTGAGTGATGAGCCGGAGCTCGCTCGCCTTCGGCTCGTGTGAAGCTGGTACGGTGAGGTTGCCGATAATAACGGCGCAGTGCAGAGGTGCGAGCTCTGCACCACGCTTTCCACAAGCCCTTGCTACTATTAATCACACCAATTGTTTTGAAGCTTTTCTATACAGTCACTCCCATTTTTCTTTCCAAAAATCATTAAAGAAAAAATAATTAAATCAATTTAATTACATCTAACATTCAAAATGCACATAAATGAATAGATTTCTCCAAAAGGCAGAAGTAGGAAAAAGACTTGCTTCATTGAAGCAAAGTAATTGGTTTGATGAGGTAAAGTTTAACCGAACTGACTTAAAAGTCTTCATTGATCTCGTTTGGCAGATGAAGAATACGTTAAATATTTAGGTCACTTCATTCCTCCTCAATAAAGTTAGGACTGATCTAAATCTGACTGCAAGTTGTTCTCCATTGACTCACAGGAAGGATCTTCTTTAAGCCGCATCTGAGGAACTCGTTGCGTAGATGTATCCGGAAGTCCAGGTCATCAGGCGAAGTGACCAGGGCATTGATCAGCTGCATGCAGGCGACCTGGAGATCACAAAAATAAAAAACCAGTAACATATGAGCAAAACAGAAACTAAAATTTTGGTTTTCCTGGCTGAATTGCAGACTTTTTAGTGGTAGTTTTAACTTAAACTGTAAAAAAAAAACTAATTGCAAGGCATGCATCACAGCATTTGTGACCTTTATGTCACAAATAAAGGTCACAAATTTTAGATATTAAGAAAGTTAATACTGTTGTCTGATGTGACGATAAACAGGAAACAGGAGCAAAGAATGATTTTATGAGCATTTGATCCTAGATCAAAATTGGAATGGGTCCATTTCAGATGTCTTTCCAATTTACTGGTACATCTCTAAATATACCAAGCATAAAAAGTAAGAACATTTGGTGTTTAGTCAATTACTTGGCAGCAAATCTCCTACCGTTGGAAAGTCTGTTTGTTTCTCTTTGAATAGTAATTATTTTTAAGAATAATGCATTTGCAAGCTGAGCAGCAAAGTTAAATGTGACTTGTTAAATCCTCTCTGCCAACACCAAACGGATTAATATACTATTGACTCCAGTTTTGTGTCATTTATTATATGGGATTAATGGAGTTTGAAGAAACAAGGTATATTTGGCTATTTAACATTAATTCCTTCATAAAAAAACAACAACATCAAAAAACAAGACTTCAGTAGAGTGTGGGAGAACAACATAACATCACGAGACTGGCATGACCGCCTTGGCTCCAAACTGCTTTGTGAGAGGCAGCATTTGTCACAATTTAGTCAGCTGCAGTGGCTGTAATCTGCTATGGTTCTAATAGTAGAGCTGCTGGGGGTTTTTTCAGCGCTTTAGAGCTTTGCTAATATTTAAAGTGTTTAGTGCACTTAGCTTCCTGTAAACTAATTCATCCAAAAGTGCTAATCTATTTTTCTGCTTTATGAAAAAGTTGAATTTACTTCAAAATGTGTGTCAAAGTTTTGGTTAACTTCATGTAGTTAGCCATTTATACATGTTCTTATTTTGAAGTGAGTGAAAAAATTTAACCCTCTTGAGGATAATATGTTGTAACATGCTGTTCATTGATACATGGCTTAAATTGGCGCTTTGGCAATAATTTATGTTAAATACCATGTTAGTGAAGGACTTTAGTGTTAGAATAACTAATGTTTATGAGTAGTGCTTTGGTTAGCGCAGCTAACTTTTTTGTTAGTGGTGCCTACTGTTTGCTAATGGTTGTGTTCAGTGGGGTTGAAGTCAGGACTTCATGAAGGCCATTTCATGCTTTCTTCATCGGTTGTCTCCAATAAAGCTTGCTCTGTGGCGCAACACATTGACGTCTTGTGGGACGGAGTTTGATCCCTGAGAGTGGAAACATGCGACCACCACTGGTTGCAGCACTCCAACTTAATTCATCTCTCCATTGAGATTGCCTCCTATCATGACGGATCTTGTCCTTTTTTTGGGGAGTGAGATGATGCCTTATACCATCACACTAAAAACTGCCACCACTAAAAACTCTATGGCATTGGCAGAAAGGATTTTACCTGATTTTAATGAATGAAACCCACGTACAATAGTGTCTAACTATTTGCTGAGACATAAACAAAATTATTACTTTTTTTCATGCTCAGAGTGCAAAACGTGATTTATATTGCTTGATGTTGGGTGTTGTTAGTCAGTACTTGCTTCACTATTGCTCTTCAGAGCCTAAACCGCAGCACTGAGGACAAAAGTAAAGAAAGAATCAGGTAAAATGAGTAACACAGTCCAGTTCTGTGAGGCTATTGACTAGATGTGCATTATTAATGGATTTATTGGAAGAAGAAAGAGTGAAAAAAAGAGTTTGTGCGCATGGTGGGTGGGTGGATGGATGAGTAAGGGTTAGGAGGAGGAAATAGCAGATGAAATATAATGAGAAGTAAGGTGTTTTCAGGGAGCAAGCCAAAGATGAGGCACTTTTCCTTTGACAGACAATCGATAAAAGGCTGAAGGATTCCCATGGCAAAATCTGAAATGTTGGCTTCTTAAACCTTGACCCAACACTCTATGTTGTTATGTGTTATTAATAAGAGTCACAGCTGTGCTGATTCTTTGGGGCTGTCACATCCATTTCTTTGGATGTATTCTGCTTCCTCTCACTGTCAGTTTGAGCATCTCTGGGCCAAAATCTCTCTCTGTGTGAGGAACTGGACGAGGAAAACAAGAATAAGTAAGAAAGAATATAATCAGATATGGTCAAGCTTTTCATGGAAAAATGTAAGACTTCTCCAAATTGAACATTCTAAAGTTCACTGTCCTTTGTGTTAGTCTTAAAATACTGATGTTCTAACACATTATACATTTATGGAAAACATTTGTACAAAAGACAGGCTTTAAATTTGTAATTTTAATTTGTAAAAAGAAGAAAGTTAAAGCTAGGATGGACGGAGGAAGAAAATTACTGGTTGCCAAACATCTTCAAACAATAGGACAATCATTCTCATATTTGATTTTTCTATACAAAAATACTATTACATACCTTTTACATATTACTTAGAAATAGAATAATAGAGTAGAAAACCTTTTTTATTTAAATATCTAAACCTCTAGGGTGGTCTATATGTTGCTTTGGGTTTTTTTCACTTAATGCAAATTTCATCCTTTTACCATTAAATTGAATTTGCCGCATTTTTGTAGATTTTCCTAGTTAGTTTTTACTATTTCACCATAAATTTCCATCGTAGTTCTGCTTGCATTATACTTCGAACCAATCCCCAAAATCTTCCCTAAGTGTTTCAACACATCTCAAAAGTAATCAGTTAACATGTGAGGTGAAAAAAAATTATACTTATTTTAAAATATTTGCCAGCTTTAATGTGACATTCCGCTACAATTTAACCTAAAAAGCTAAACAACAGCATAAAATCTTAAAGATGCAATAAATTGTTTGTGTGACTGCACACACCCTTGAACAAACTCTTTGTTGAACCACCTTTCAGTGTTATTTGAGTTAATTTCATCACTATATTTGGATCTGGGTATATTTGTCTATTCTAACCAAGAGAAATTAACTTTGTCATAAAGATACATATAAAAATATTTATATAGGAAAGCATTTTGGTCTTTTGTTGTCTCTCTGTAAATTAACAGTTTAGTTGAAGGATGTAAATCTCATTAAGATTTTAGTTCAGTTAGGGTTTTTTGGCAACAAAGCAGCTTAAAGTGGTTTATATGATAAAAACATAACACACTGAACAAATCTAAAAACAAACACTGCATTGGAGCAGCAGGATAAAGAAAAGTAATGGAAAGCTACAATCCAGACTAAAATTAATCTATTTTACAGTTATTAATCAAAGTGAGCTCTAAACAAGGGGATGAAGGTTTAGTCTTGATTTAAATAAATTGTTTTCTGGATGTTTTTTTTTTTCCAGATTAAATGAAAATCGAATGCTGCTTCTTCATCTTTGGTTCTGGTTCTTTCTGCGTTTCTGAAGGTTCTGGTCTGAGTGCATCTCATCACTACAATCAGATTTCAAGCCGGGTCACTAGTTTTAGTGAAATAATTCACTGGCCATGGTTTTAGTTCACGGGTGTTTTCATTCACGTAGCCTAGTGTTTATTTATTTTCAACAAAATTTGGGGTATTTTCTGTTTATTTCTGCATGACGTTACGTTAAAAGTGACACAAAAATTAAAAGTTCTTGATTAGAAATTGTAATTGTAATTAAACTACTAATAGCTGGAAAATGTAAGAAATTTGAAACCGGGAATTTCCCTCATGTTCAGCTGTAGCCTTAACTACACTAAAACACATTTTAATCACATTAGCCAACTCTAGCTGTGCAGAACATCACAGCCTTTGGATTTAAAGTCTATTAATTTCCCCCAAAACCCCTGTATCAGCAAAGCATTTTAATTTACTCCACAATTAGCAGAGCTTCATTTCATTAATGGCAAAATTTAAAGGAAAAACAACAGCCTACTAATAAAAGAATATCTTGTTTCTCCTCCGCTGCCCGCCTCATCAATTTCTTTCATGACTTTTTTTTCATGACTTCTCATGCCCTGCAGCTAATCTAATTCCTTAAGTAATTCCTTGCTCTGGACTCTTAAGGACAAAAAAAAAAGCTTCTAGTGGTGTTGTTGTTGCTGTTAGTTGTTTTTCTGTTCCTAAAGAACACTGGTGAAAATGAAGAGAGGTATGCTGCTCTGTTGGCCTCTCTCACAGAGTCCTCCGAGATTCAGCTTGACAGCAACATAGACAAAAGCAAGAGGAAGTATTTGTGGGATGTGGGAAAAAAAGATGAGTAGAAACAGCCAGAGGAAGGGGAAATATGACAAAGAAAGAAAGACAAACTCAATATATTTCTTTTACTTCATCTTTCTTTTTTTATGGGTTTTGCAAAGAGAAAGGAGCCATTCAGTGAAGGTGCTCAATGAGGCAGGTGTTTTCTTTTAATAAAGAAGTGGCAATGGAGCATTGAGTTGATTATAATAGCACTCTGATCACATCTTGTCATGTCCTAGGGGGAACTTGATGTGGACAAGTCGACATGAAGACAGAAGCAATGAAAGATGTGGTAATACAGCTGAGATGGAGGTATAAATGGACCAAACACACAGAGTGGCAAAACTGTCAATTTGAGTCATGTCTGCTCCCATTAGGATCTTGAAGAAATATGACACATTCTGTATACTGGGCCTGCTCTGCGTCTACCGTGTCCGCTCTGGGTCCACTGTGCAAAACATCAAGTAGGAGTTTTCCTAAAATACTTTATTTAATCTCCGTTTTGGGTTCCCAATCAATTATTTTTCACTTCATCCCATCACAGCAGAGCAGTGTGGAGGTATTTGGATCAGTGCGCTGCTTGTTGTTTTTGTGTGTGCTGTGTGCATGCCTAATTACTCACCTGGAGCTGCTGGGCATCGTGGTTCTCCAGTCCTTCCACAATTGGAGCAAATCTCTCTTTATTGTTCCTCTCTGCAGCAATTGTCATGGCAGCCAGAATCTTATCCAGGCTGGGGAAAAAGCAAGCAAACAAACACTTTTAAAACCTTTAACGACAGGACATTTCTTCACAATTTAAGGCTCAAACAAAACCCATCTCTTCTCGCGTGCTGGGCAGTGAAAGCTGATAATTTATTTTTTTCACTCATGTTAAATTTGCTGCTATTGCAGCAGCAGCCCATTTGGACTCGATCTTGCAGTTGTTAAGGTAAGCTTGAACAAAATGATATGCTTTTGCTGCAAATGTGGTCTATTCAAGTGTTTGTAATAAATGTATTTGGTAATGTGAAAGCTATTGAAAGGTCCGGGTAAATTAGTGTTAAAAAGGGCTCAAGCCAGCTCATTTTAGAGTACTTAATCATTTCAGACTAAACTGAGAACATATGCGGTGTCACAAACACACACTAAACAAGAAGTAAATTGAGAATAACTCAAATGTGTTTTGAGTTATTCTTTGAATGTTCAGAGAAAAATTATATTCATATTAGGTGAATATGAGCCAGAAAATTGACAAATTGTTTTGAGAAACATCTTCCCCTCAGTTTTCCAGAGAAGAAGTCACACTTGATGCACCAGGTTTCTACAAAAGTATTCGTACCCTTTGAACTTTGCAAATTTTATGCCGTTACAAATTTCACTGATTAGAAGCAGAGTCCGTTTTATACAACATTTAAAAACATGGGGTTTATTTGAAATCACCCTCCACCACTCCCAAAATAAAATTGAGAGCAAGTAACTTCTAAACAAATGTAACTTTCTAAGTGAATATCTGATAAGTTATTCTCCATTACTGTGTAAAGACTCCAGAGGTTTGTTCGGGGGCTACGTTAGGTTCTCAGGGACCACTGTCCTGCATGTTTTGGGTGTCTCCTTGCAGCTGATTAAAAGGAATGGGAAACAACCATCTGCAGTACGTGATGCCATGCAGAGGAGGTCATTTATTCATTTGAATCAGTAATGCTGGAATGGAGACATGTCTAAAACATGCAGGGCAGTGGGACCCACTGGGTTAGCTAATCGGATGATATTATATTTTTAAGATTGTTTTTTCTTTGATCCAAAATGTCAGACTAACCATCTTCTCTGTGTGAAATGTGCACATTGCTGTCTTCAAACAAGTTGTCCTTGTTCTTGAGATGTAAATACACCACAGATCTTGACAGGATAATTTTACTCTTGTATTTACTGTGTCTGGACGTTATTGGGTTCATAATGTACAAGAATATTATGTTTGGAAAAAAAAAACAATTAGTTTCTCGGATACTGAATTCCTATATGGAATGGCGATGTTCTTCTTTCCTCCTTCGGTGGACTGAGTTTATCCATCCATTCATTTTCTATTCATCCTTGTCGCTAGTGGGGTTTGGGAGGTGATGGTGCCCATCTCCAGCTATGTTCTGGACAGGTCGCCAGTCTGTCGCAGGGACTGAGTTTAGTTTTCTTGAAATTCTGGATGCCTCAAAATAGGTCCAGTTGGATGAACCCACAGGTTTGAAGTAATTTCTTAGTTTGTGTTTCTTATTCTCGAAATTTCAAAAGATTAATCTGACAGAAAGGTGTTTCTACAAAGATCTGTCCCAAGGTGCTAAATACAAACCTGAAAGAGTTTAAAATGTTTGCCCTTTGAAAGAAAAGAGCTTTTTGTCTTTCAGCCAAAATGTAAAACAGAATATGTTCAAATTCCAGGTTGGAACGTGCTAAAATGTGAAAAAGTTCAAACGGTGTGAAGACTTTTGGAATGCACATCTTTACCAACTGTTTCTGGTAAAATATACCAGACACAGTTGCTGTTGCATCTGCCACTACCTTTGTGATTAGCAAACATCATGTGCGACCAATAGGACCGTATGTGCAGAGTAAGGCTTACATGGAGATAAATGGAAGAACCCTGTGATAGACATTACAAAGTCGCTGAAAACATGACGAGCTGCATACTGAGCAGCTTTAAAGCCAGTTCAGTCGTAGCTACAAAACAGGCGAGATAGATCTGCTTAACGTGTCATGTTCTCTTTTGATGCTGTCAGCCAAAAACGGTGCCTAACATGAGTCAGATTCTCAGCACCGGTTGGCAGAGAAGTTTCGGAGAAGAAGAAAAAAAAACAACACCTCAGCTCCTTCGGCTGTCACTTCCACAAGATCCGGACATTTTATAGCACAGATATCATTGTGGAAAAGCGCTTGTTGTTCCACCTATTTTTAAATTATTTGAGTGACTGGTGTGAGTGAATAAAGTATCATGAGACATAGAGAGGTATATACCACCACTACAAGATTATAAGAGCAGTGATGCATGTGTGTTTATATCACACCTATGTGGTGAGTGAACTGAACACAACTAATTTACTCATTAACCACATCAGTGCACTGATTAATGACTCGAGTGCATGTACATGCAAAAGTTGTTGCAAGTGGAACACAAGTTCACTTGAGTTGTGATCTGTAATATGTCAACATATTGCTTACTTCAGCAGATAACGTCTTTATCTTGGTTGGCCTGAGCAACGCTGATTGTGTGTTGTTGAATTGCTACAGACTGAAATTCAGAGGAACATTCATTTATGTAGCAATTTTCATTCTTGTACAATTCGTTATTAGTTTTTCCATTAAGAGACATTCTTAGCACGACTGTGATGTTTGGGGGCATTACCTGATGCTGGTTAGGAGAGGAGACTGAGAAAAAGCTCTGACACCTTAGCTTTGTAAAAAAATTTAAAAATAAGAAAAATTTCCAATGCAATGACAGTTAAATTATAATTCAAGTGAAATAGCTAGTCAATTTTAGCCATTTGTATTTAGGTTTCAAAGAACATTAAAATATCTAAAGTTGTATCTAAAAGACAAAAGTTTGAGACCGCCTCTGTAATAAACCTAACAATATTAAGTTAACACTCCAGGCTCAAATGATAGATTGTAAATTGATCTCACTGTACACAACATCAATATTGCAAAGTATATTAGTTAATTATGCAAGTACTTCTAATTCAGGCTTTCTATGCACATAATAGATTTAGTGATTCTTGCTGTTTAGAGCTGCAGAAAATGTTATTAACTGTATTGTCAAGCAGCTAAGTTGTTTCAAAGCCAAAACAACAGATGTTGCATAAGTTTAACATAAGTTTTGGATTAAGGTCATTTTATTAAATTTTAAATTAAATATAAACAGAATAGTTTGTTCACTTATGCGAATCATGATAATGTGCAGGTCCAGTTTTGTGTCATTGCTTTGGAGCCTGTTCCAGGCAGGGAATGAGACGAGGCACCTCAGAGTTGAGTCCTGAAGATGCACAAGAGATCAGTAGTTATGGCTGAAATAAAAGTTATGGCTGAAATAAAAGCGCAGTCCTTAAATGACATGGCATTTTTAAACTGAATCTGGAATTTTATATCAGAGGGAAAAAAAAAACATTGAAGAAGTGCACACTAAGCCACTTTTCAGTCATTCTGTTTAAATAAAGAAAGAAAGAATTTGGAGAAATAAAACAGGGTAGATGAGCACAGCGAAAGGTTGGGAATTAAACAGATGTACATAAGCTGGCAACGCCCAAACTAAAAATGCTGAACATTCTGTTGGAACAACATGATACACCTTGTGTTAAACTATATTTTATAAAAATATGATGGATAAAAGAGAATTGGATCATTTTGGGATTGTTAATGTAGTCCACAATGTTTAGATGATGAACTATGGTTAAAGTTTATGTTGCATCAACCAAACTTAGAACTAGATTCTTGTGCCGGGTGAACTTGTTAAGCTCCAACATCAAAGAACAGAAAAGTTCACATATAATGGGAGGAAACATAATTATATGAACAACAATACTGCAAAGAAAATTCTGTCACTTTCATAGTCACCATCAGACCTACATCTAATAAGTCAAGATTCAGCTCCATACTTTTACCCTGAACAATGTAACAAAAGAAAAATATGTAGTGATGTTAAATTTTCAGATTTATGTCTAAATAACCTTAATTTGAAGATCTCAAGACTGAGGAAACTGTAAATAAATTGCCAATAAGTTAACCACTTAACTCAAGCAAATTGTTTTATTTTAGATCAGAAACTCAGAAAACAATTGCTACATGTAACACTAAAATGCCCTTCATTGTCCTAAGCCAATGTTTAAAAGCTTTAAATATTGTAGGAGAAGTTCATGATATTTACTTTTTAAAACCACCAACTGTGAAGACAAAGTTAAACTCTCTGGAATAAAAAAAAAAAAAATAATTTATTCGCTGCAATATAAAACCTGTTTTGGAAATTGTTTACTCAGCATGAAAATGACAAGCTCCGAGTCCCATTTCAGACGGTCAGAAATTTAGGACACATTTGCTAAACTCAGCTTTTTCTCAACGGAAAATGTGGGTTTGTTTATTTCCTTGACTACATAAAGATTTGACTTTGAGCTGTTGTTATTCTAGTCCGGCCCAGTGGGAAACAACAAACGCTCACATAACTCCAATTTAAAGCCTGTCAAGCAAGTTGTGTCCACAGTAAACAGACAACGCTGCACCAAACAATGTGGGTTTTGCACTGGAGTTATCTGAAGATATATAATGATTCACAGTGGATAAACACAGCATGAATATTAACAGTGGGGTGTAATCTCTCAAACATATAAATAAACTTAGAGGAAGAGGACTGCAACAGCAGTATTTTTCATCCTTTCTGTTCAATATTAGGGGTGTAAGCACAGTGAAGACGCACCATGACTTCCTATTTGTGATCTCAGCACAGATTTAAAACGGTGTAGCTCAGCTTACACACCAGCTAACATTTACTGAAAAATGATATAGCAACACAAGCAATTAAAGGGCTATACCACTAAAATATATCCTGCTGTTTAGACAAAGTGCATCTCTTACTGTTAGACTACAATAGAAAGCACTAAACCACTCACGTGTATTGATTTGACCAGTCTGGAATCGGTTCTTTAACAAGGATATTTATTTGTAAAAGAATGCATCCTCAAGGTTTATTTGTTCTTTATGAACGAACAAAAAAAAAAAAAAAAGACTTCAAAGAATGTATTTGTTTTCACACTTAAAATAAATAGGCCTGTCTCTCATTAGCTATAAAATTGACCATTTTATACAGTAGATATTATTCAACTTTATTAGAAAAGTTATTTACGATGCGTCATCTAGGTTTTGCAGCTCAAGACCAGAACAAGATACGCTCTGGCTTGCAAATACTGATCATTCCTGTTTATCGTACATTTTGGAATAAAGATGCTTAAACAAAAGAAAAAAAATGACACCTTGCACAGCGCATGAAACCACAAGTAACCACTCATAAAAATGAACAAAATATTCTTGAGAAACGTATGTAACTATTGCTCATTACTAAATAAACTAATATGATGTTCTAGTCCAGTAGTGAAGTGTTTGAGAAGTAGGAAGTCGTGTCAGACAGAATAAAAAAATAAATTAAAAAAAAGAGTGGAGTAACTTATTATAGGTTATTAAATTCAGAAATGCTACCTTGGGCCACACACCATATGTTGTAAAAGAAAAAAATCAGAATGGCATTATTTTGAGCTGATGATGTTCACAGATAGACACTTCATTTCTTCTAGCGAAGTCTCTCCAGATCATTCAAACTTATTAAAACCTGTATCAATGTACTTTTTAATGCCTTTTTTTCCTCTAAACTGTAGATCGTACAAGTCACATTTTATTAACATCCTTTTATTAATGGAACTCTGCAGACTTACAAATAAAACCAATGCTTCTGACCTTTAAAACTGTGACAATCTCATTATCTGACAAGACTCTCTGTGGAGAAGAGTGGCTGGCTTCTGCCAGATCACTGTAAGAACTGATCAGATTCAACACAATCGACTTACATGTTTTCTTCGCCAATAATACAGATAGCTGAGAGAATTTTGACAATCTCCGTCATCAAGACGATCTGTTTGGGGTCGATTGCTCTTGCCAACAGCAACAAGCTCCGCTCGTCTCCCAGGATCCTTTGCAGTCCATACTGTAAAACACAGAAGAGATGAGCCAAGATAGAGAGCAGATCCATTGAGTATAAGTTAATGAGAGCATTTACATTCATGGAGAACTTTCACTTTGAGTAAAATATAAATTATACAAAAAAGCTGTAATGTATGAAGTCATAGTTAGACGTAATCTTCTTTTAAAGAGGTACACTTTAAGGCTGTGGGAGAAAACGGCAAGAATGATAAATTGATTTAATTCAGGACAAGACTGCAGGGACGAATACTTATAGTCTCCTGCGCCTTTCTGTCTCAGCACAATTGGAGGACTGGGTTCAGATGACCATGTGTGGGGGATTAACTCCACAAGAGGCAATATCAATAGTGCATCTAACCTTGAAATGTGGGCCACTTCAAGAAATGAGGAAGACTTTCCCAAAAAGGGGATAATTAAAAGTTCAGAAACTTTAAATGGTGAAATTAGCTCCACTTTACTGCTTCATTATCTCCAGCCGGTGAACAACAAGATGCAAACAAGGTTGGAAACCTTACCACCTGTGCTAATGTTACACATTTACCAAAGTTTCACAAACATTTCTCTCGATTCAGCTTTTCAGAGCTCTATGTCTGTTGCATTTTCCTCAAAATATGAAATGATAAAGTCCATTGCAAACTAACAGTATATATTTTTACAATGGGTGGACTTAAAATATGTAGTCAAATAAACAGGAAAGACAGAAAGACAAACTGAAAGAAAAACAGAAGGAAAAAGACAAGAAGAGACGGATGAAAGGATACAGTGAAGAAATGAAGGAAGGAAGAAATTCAAAGGAACCAGACAAAAAAAGAGAAGAAAGGAAGAACAGAACGAAAAAAATCAAACGAAAGAAGGAAGCTATTTAATAATGGGTATAGAGTCAGGGAATACAAGTAATGAAAAAATTTCAATCTAAAGAATAAGTAAAGGGTATCTAATATTAAGTCATACAAACCTTGTTGTTCATGAAAGCCTTTAAGCACTGGATTAGCTTAAGCTGAATGCGTTTATCAATATTCTCTTGCCTACAAGAAAACAAAAAGTAAAAAATTAGGACGTTTTGATATGGCATCACAATTAGGGTATGGTTTTAGATAATGACACAGAGGTTAGAAGGTGGACATGTGAACTTACGGCTTCTTGTCCAGAAGCTTCTCCAGATTTTCCAGAAGAAGGCCGAGACCTTCATGGCCAAAGTTGTTGACCCAACTAGAATAAAAAAAAGAGAAACATATCAAATCAAACCAGTATTCAATCTTAATAGGTTCCCTCTTTAAGTTTACTTTACAGAGGTGGTTCCTTGGGTAAGATGCAGGTAGAACATCACAGCAATTTTCTAAAACCCATTTTAACCTTAAGAGGAAATTAAAAATAATAGAGGTCTACATTTCAAGACTACATTTGACGATGTATTTTGGATTATTATAACACTGAATTGTTGAAATCGTAAACAAGAGCTACACCATAATATTTTTTTCTATATAAAATAATCTATTTGCTTTATAAAATGTGGAATTATGAAAACAGAAATACAGAACAAAAAAGAAAAATCAAGCATTGTTCATCAAGACTGAGATCTCAGAAGCAATAAGTTGTATGTTGGAAGAAAACTTCATAAAAATATTCCTACCCAAGGCATTTCATATCATCTAGAAATCAGATTTAGACCTTTGAAAATCAAGTTAGGGAACCCTTGGACTACACTCTGCATTTTCCCAGCTTTAACCTGGAACAATAACATGTATAGTCAACCATGCCCTCTGCTTGACACTGAAAATATTCTGCATTAGTCTGACTTTAAACTGCAACCATTTACACACAAATGAGCATCCATCCATCCTAACCAAAGTTCTCAGCGCTAAGCAGTTTGCACCGAGGCCTGACGTGAGCAACTATTATACTGTGCCAAAAGATTAAGCAATGCAAGTAAGATAACACTGTAATCGATAATGGATCGAGAGAGATAATTGCCTATGAACCGCAGCGTATCAGGAGACGGCAAATGATCCAGTGCATATGAGCCTGTTTGCCTAAGCCGGGAGCAGAGTCGAGAGGCAGCGTTGAGGAACCGAGTGGTCGCAGCCAGATTATGCCATTAGCTTCACTTGTTTTCGGGCCCTTAACTGTCAGTGACGCAAAATGCATGAAGCAATTTTCCAGCATTAACGGGGCATAAGTCAATGATTTATCCCGCCTTTTTGACAATGATTTGAAATAATAATGGTTTGAGTATTAAAGCCGTTTGTATTGACTCAGTGAGTCGTAAGAGGCCCTCAATTAGAGATGAGATGCATTTGCCTGAGGAAGCAAACAAATTCGAGGTGAGGTATTTCTTTAATCTGCGGCTAAATAAGAACCAACCAGACTCCTTGTGCCACATTTCTCAGATTTATCTCATAAACAAGCAGAGTCAATTTATAAGTTGCTGATATTGAATTGTAATGAGCAATGATGTGCGTTCTTAAACTTAAAACAGTACAACATTCAGAAATTCCCTTATAAAAAGTATTTGAACAAGAGTTTTCTCATCCGATTGTTTCATTCAAGCGTGTGCTGTGCAAAATCTAACAGTTTTCAGGAGAAATACTGACATATATTGCAGCTGGATATGTTTGGGATACAAAAGTAGGACACCATATTGAGAGCCTTTGAAACTCAGCGACAAATTCAACTGGACTGCAGCAAAAATATGGTAGTCACTATGTTGTTTTTAGGTGAAAAACAGAAAGATCAGGGATTGTCTACTCAATTTTTCCCCTCCACCATAAGTCTTACTACAAGTTGCAACATAATATAGTTCCCCTCAAGGTTCTTAATGCACTAAATGTTTTGGGCCCGCTCTCCGTCCCAGACAGCCCATCATTCTCTGTCCCCTCCTGCATGACTTCAGGTCATTTGCAGCCTGCCTTCTACATGCCCCAAAAGTTTACAAAGAAGAAAAAGCTATAAAAATACTAGATGGTGCACATTCAGAGCTTGTCCTGGAGCTATGAAAAGAAAGAAGAAGAAAAAATAAAAATAAAAACATACTTCATTAAAGAAACTGGCCAAATCCACAATAAATCGCTACAAACACCAATAACTAGAATCTATATTTACAAAAAAGATTCTGTTTACTGTCATATTAGAAGCTTCAGATTACCTTTGCTCAATTTTTATTGTCGAGAGCATTGAAGTAATGAATATTACTGCGTGACCCATAATCACTGAAAGAGATCAAATCCTTTCAAACCCAGATGTAATGTGACGTTGTACTCAATGATTACATTAACTTTGAGGAGGACACATTCATATAATATTTATGGCTGTAATCCTCTGGTTAAGAACCACTAAAATGCATTACTTTCAATCATGTATAATCTCCAGGGAACATGAAAAAATATGTTTAAGAGAAGCAATTTTCTTTCAATTTTATTTTAGTTCATTTTTGCTCACTTAACATGATTACATTGTTATCTTTACTGGGATATGTTCAGACAATACATGCTTACATTAAATGTCCATTACATTACAGATTTCTCAGAACATTTTCTGTTAATTTCCAATACTGCAAAGCAGAGATGTGCTGCTATTCTATTGGAACTTATTTGTTCGCCTTGAGTGCTATCCATTATTCAGTCTGGACATTGCAAAGTCCATCATTGATATGACCTGCAAAGTGAGAACAAGTCGAAAATGTGCAAAGAAAATAGTACATGGCTCAACGGGGACCAAATCACTCTGTCCCACCTCATGTTTGACTGATCACTTCTGTTGTGTTTAGAAAGCTCGTCCCAGGATTGATTCCAGTATATAAACCACTTTTATCATTTTATGAGGGCTCAGCGAGCAGCTTTGTTCCTGAAAGCTTCGGAGGACGCACAATGTGTTTCATATTGCATTACAGAGCAGGCTATATAACTGTCCCTCTGTGGGTTTCAGGACCGGTTTGGCGCTACAAAATGTCTGAGCTATGCAACAAATGGATCTCCAATAAACAGCTTGAAACAAAGCTACACTGGTGTTAGCTTAGTGATTCTGTCAAACTTCAGTTGGGGATACATTACATTTTGCATTTTTGTCAGAAAGTGTGGACTGTGACGGGAAGCAAGAAGGTGAAGAACTAAAGTAAACTTTCTTTAATTAACAAAAACAAATCACAGCAGGGCAGGCGATAAATATTCCGCCAACACTGCAAACCTAAATAAAAAGGGGCAAGCAGAGCAGATGCAGGATCATACTGACAAGGTAGGATTGCAAAGCAAATTGGGTTTCAGGCAGCACAATCACTAAGGGGGAGATAATGAATAACAGAAATCAGGTGAGGAGCAATAAACAAAGGCCAGATGTGTGACAAGAGCAAGTTTACAACAAAACAGGCTTTCTAAATAAAACTCAAAGGACCAGAAGAAAGAAACCAGAATCTGTGTCCAAAGAGACTGAAGAGAAAACCAAAATAAATCAACACAGAAAACAATAAGACAAGGGATAACGAAACTCCAAAATCATGGTTAGTATGCTTTATTATTGTCATTGAACAACTGATTGTTTAAAACGGCGCTGATTAATAATATAACTCCTACTTGTTATCTTGTAGAAAAGCTTCAAACAGAAAGGTGTGTACCTTTATATTATGATCCAGAGGCTGAAATGAGATTGTTGGGGATAAAAAGCAGTAAAAGAGGTGATAAATGCAACGTTTACATACAGAACATAAACTGTTAGCATAGAAAGAGTTTTCTAAGTTGCTATGAAAAACTCATAAGGCTGATGCTAAAGACTTTGGCTGGAAGTTGAAACACTTAAAAATAAATAAATAAATAAAAATAAATAAATAAATAAACCTTTCTACAGTCACAACACTGCTAATTCTTATTTGATGCCCCAATAAGACAAAATATTAAATTTAGGGATCACATGTAAATTGCTAAATTGGCAAATACTTTAGACTCTCTCTAAAAACACTCATAAATAAATATGTTGATACTTCACACACCACATATTCCTTAATATGCATTAATACACACATAAAACCCAAAATCTACTGTCTTTCGTGTTTCAACACTTGGGGGTTCAGCTAATTAACACCAATGAAAGTAAAAGCATAATAAATAGCTCCAGAAGTGGATACTTTGCAAATGCCAGACAGCAGTCTGTCAAGCCCCATTGTGCCAAGATATTTTAGCTTCTCAGGGTAAATTTTCTTTAGCAGATGTTGGATTACACATAAAATCACCACATATATAGCAGAGCTATTTAGAAAACTGTTGATTAAAGCAAACAAAGTGAGATGAACTCCCAGGAAACTACCAAGACGTATTATGTATCCAACATTTTAAAACGGATATAAATTAGTGATTACTGGATAAAATTCAGACAAATACAAACTCTCCACTCATAGCTTCACATTACTTGGCTCTAATAATATCCGGCCTCTGCTGGCTGGCACTCTTGTTTTACATAATGTATCCTCCGAAACGTTTTCTTCATAAAGTAGTCAAACACCGAGTTTGATGCCTCTACCTATGCAGCCTCAGGACTCTAGCTGGTCTCAGCACTCCCCAATCGTGATGTCGAGTGTAGCCAAGCAAGCAGCAGAACAGCAGCGGTACTCACAAAGAGCTCTCTGAGGTGAAAATCTGCAACATGAATTAATGTGCTGCTGAATATCCACGTGTGTACGTTTCAGGCTGTGCATGAAGCCTCTATGAGACAGTGGAAAGAGCAGAATCAAAAGTTAGGTGTGCAGTCAGCTGACAGCTCACCGTGATCCCTGGATGCTTTGAAATGTCTCCCCACAGAGTAGAAAACACCAGAAATTTTTATTCCTCCTCCATTGAATGCCAAGGATTCAGTCCTGCACAACAATCTGCTCTTCTTACAACCAGCTGAATTTCAAAGGATCAAGTAAAACTAGATGACCAGAGTCTGTCTTTTAATATTTTAAAACGTTATCAAAAACTTTGAGCTGTTTCTGACTGGAAAACTTGGTTATTTCAGGACCTGGCAAAGATAAGTTTAAGTGTTTCAATGAGGAAAACACAATGCTGAGCGTATCTCAACATCAATGTCGCTATTTTGTTGCAGGAAAATGTTATATTGAATGAACTTCAGAAGTCTTTTACCAGATGTGCAACAGTATTTTTGCAAAATATACAAAAATATGTCTATTCTTTGTCTTTGAAAAGGCTTTTCTTCATAAAATAACAGCAGAACTGAGAGTGGCCATA